CTTCCAATCTTTACTTCCACCCCTTCTGAGGCCCTTCAACCACATCCTTTATGCTGAAGCCTGCTGTCCACCTGTATCCTAGGAGTGCTCTGTCTGCCTAGATCATATGGTTTTAGAAACCTCCCGATGCAAAGTAATAATAAACAAATGAAAGAGGTTATTGAAAACATTACAGGCCATAATTTTAATAAATGTTGGCTCTTGTCACTATGTTCTCCAGTATTTATAGTTTTATATACTGCCAACAGATCCAAGTGTTTTGTCTTTTTGACAAACATTTCATGCAATCATAAATTAACTCATTTTTCAGCAAAATCTGACATCAGCAGTTAAGCTGTCAGTACATAGAAGTACTAGGGTTGGCAAATCCTCATCTCATAATAAAAACAAAGAGCTTTAAATGAGTCCCAGACAGTGAGCTAAGTGCGCCCAGGCTGAGTCTGCTATCGCAGGCTACATTGGTCACAGATCTGACAGGCGGTGATTCTGCAGCTTACATATCAGCCAAAGCAGCTCTCCCAAATGTTGTCCTCATTAATAATCCTACACAGGTATGCGAGAGCAGCTCCTGGGCTTTTGATAAAGCCAGGGAAGTTAAACCCTCTTTATTGTTCCTTGCTGGCTGGTGTTGGGCTCCATGTGTTGCTAGTTTAGGTCGTCAAGAGAAGTTCTGCAGTAGTTATTTTTAGATGCAGTGCTAATAAAAACAGGCTATAGACCGTTAGAAGGTTAATTTGTCTACTTGATTCTGGGATTTACCCGCTTTCTGACTGAGCAGGGTATTGGGGGCAGCTAGAGCTGAAACCACTCTTTTGAGGGAACCAAAGGGGAGAGGACAGAGCTGCCCTGAACTGTAAAGGAGCTCAGGAAGAAATATGTTTATAACCATAATCCATATAAAGTTCTAATTCTGAGCAAAGACTTTAAAACAAACACCACACATATGTTAGCTTACTCGTTACTTGTTCCATTTCTTAATGTTCTTGAAGAGGGCTCACCCATAGACTGCCTCAGGGGGAAGGAGCATCCTTCAGGCAGAAACCTGCCCGAGCACAGTACTATTAAGACTCCCCTCAAAAAGGGGAAACACTGCATCCATGCAGCACTCTAGAACACCAGGTGGAAAGCACAGAGGTGGCAGATGAAATTATAGCAATGAGAGACTCCTTGAAGAAGCAGATGCAGAAGGCAAGAGCGAGGAAGGGTACCCTGGCTGCTACCAGCACAGCAGTAATGTGGAGCTAAAGAGGTTGCTGAAAGAGTTCTTGAGAAGCTTGAGAGATTTGGGCACCTACAGACCTCACAGAAGTCCTTCCAGGAATCTTGATATTAACAGGTTAACACCCAAGCTCAGACTTGGATCTGATATTAAAGGTGAACAGGAATGTAAATCCCCATTCCAGAGGTACATCTGGGACTAAGGTAAGGACAGAGTAAAACTCACATTGCCTGGACATCAGACTGGCCACACATGTGCCATATGAGGGATTTGTGAGCTTACTAATGGGTTCTTTATACTAGCTTGGGTATGGCACTGCACCAGCACAGCTACACATCCTCTCCTGGAAACAGATTAATGCCTAGACAACTGAGAGCAGGACTGAGCAAATTCAGTTCAGGATGCCCTAGGACATTTCAAAATGTTTGCATAACTAAATGAAACCTTACGGTGCATGAAAAAATTACCAAAAAATTTACAGAGCTTTGGAACCAGCTTTCAAATGGCTAGGGAATTTGTCACTGAGAAAATCCTATACTGAAAAAAAAAAAAAAAAAAAAAAAGATTTCTATAGCCTTCTCTTGCCTGAAGATTTCTGCTGGTGTGGGAAAGAAGATGCTGTCTCCCTGCTCTGGGACCAGCACGGAGCAGCTCCATCCCACATCTCAGGAACCAACCAACTACATCTGTGGATGTCTCTTGTGGTTTCTAGCCTATTTGCTTTGGGACAGGTTGTTGCAGTAAAGGACATTTAATTAAAAATAGCTGTCATTCAGTTTATATGGATTTAAATGTTAAGCTGAAAAAAAAAATAAATTATTATGCCTTAATAAGCGGCAGACTTCAGATTTGTTAGTGAAAATAAAAGCATTACCATGCTGATGCTTTGCTTTTTTGTTCAGTGCTTCTGTTTCAGTGAATGTCTACTCTCATTCATCATATCTTTTCAACATTTTGGCTTTCCTCCCAGGCAGGGTATGTTTGATTTTTTTCCTAAAAGGAATAGAATATAATAGGAACCATTTTTGTTTAGTTGTGGGGAAATATACAAGGAGATAAATAGTACCTGAATCAATAAAGGGTGAGACCACAAGTCTTACTGTTTAAAGATTTAAACACTGCTTGTTCCTCCATTCCTCCAAAGTGAAAAAATTGAGATCCTTTAATCATTTGAGGATGGCTATAGACATATGTTTGGATAAGGCCTTTGTTTGTTTACCAGTGTCTCTAGTGTGTTGTGTTCCTCTTGTCTTCACTTGTTTAATACAAAGCTTTTTACAGATCTTTTCCCTCAACTAGTCTGTTGAGGAGCGCATGGAGTACTTAATACAGTGTAATGCTTGAAGTGCCACAAAAGAAAGCAAGATGGAAAACAGCATGAGATATAGGTGGTAATTTCCTCTCGCAGGGCGAGGCTAAGAGCAGATTTGGCAGGCCATCACAGCTTTGGCTCCAGCAATTCTGGATCTTTGCTGACTTCAAGCCCTGCTAAGAAATCATAACACTTCACTTGCACTCTGGGCTTCTGCTGTTGACCACCTAAGAGGAAGACAAGAAGTAAGCACAAGAAGAAAGTTCCTGAGAACAAAGTTTTGGCACTACAGGAACATGAGAAAGGATAGCCTGTGCTCATAGAAACCTGTGCCCTGTCTCTTATACTTACACGGTCACTGTCTACTCCTTAATAATTTCTGCATTTTGGTAAATGGAGTTTCAACTCATTTTAATAGTGATGTGGATTCAGACCTCCCACCAGAGAATCCAGGCAGTACTGAGGAATTAACCCAGAATCCCAACATAAGGGGTCAAAACAAATTTAAAAGTCCTAACACAAAACAAGGAGAAATCCTGGCACATTCATAACTATTTCTCCTCCATGGTCTAGAAAGAGCAGGAGCATTTAGAAACATGTTTCTTTTTAGGCTTTTACTCCTACAATCTGGTCTGGTTTGTTTTTATCATAGCATGGTGGTAGATTGAGTTCCAGGCTATTTTTTTTCCAGACATTATTCTTACAATGGAAAAAATTAGAAATGAAAGAGACTGAGACACTTGTCTTGTTATCATAAATTCAGGAAATTTTAGGCCATTCTCCGAACTGTTGGAGCTTCAGGATTAGGAAATCCATAGAAATTTAGGGGTTGTATTTCAGAATAAGTCTGAAAACACAGAAGCAGCTGGCAATGATAACTGGGCCAGGTCAGATCTAGCTGCAAGTTAGACAAGCAGCTGGAGCTGCACCACTGCCAGGAATAAGGATGCCTTCTAAGGCAGTGATTTCCCCTTCCCACCTAGTAAATCTGAGTTTGATCACTTAATTACAGTCTCCTACATTTTGATGTACCTGAGCACAGTGCTAGTCACTGATGCTCTGTTAATGGTAAACATGGAGAAGCCATGCACTGGCCCAGTGTCCTATTTGACTTGGAAATCCTGTCAAATCCAACCTCATAACCCAGTCATAGCAAACATTTATTTTGGAAGATGTATTTAAATGCTTCCCTTAAAAAGGACTTTTTCTTTGGTTAGGCTTATGTGGCTTGTCTAAATCCAATGTGTACTGCAAGTTCACCATTTGAACAAGTGGTTAAAACTTGGACTAATCTAGAGCATTGTAGCCTTTTCAGGTAAAAGAGTGCAGCATTAATTAGAAATCAATTGCATAAGGGGATTTGTAAAATCAATTGAAAGACTTTGTCTGATTAAAGAACTGGTCACACCAAAGTGAACATGCAGACGTTGGACAGCACTGGACTACTTGGTTCAACAATTTTTATTCCTTTCAATTATAAACAAGTGTATATTAAATATGTAGTGTAGAAAGGTCCACAAAACATCTATTCCAGGCCTTCACAGGCCAATAAACCAGCCTGTGACCAGACTTACAATCAAATACCAATTGCTACCGTTATAACATGCCATGCAAGGAATACCAATGGTTTGCCAAAGTATCCTCCAATGCTCATAGGAAGCAGAGAGTGCACCATGCTACACATAAAGGCAAAAAATCCAAGCCCAGCAGCCTACACCACTCTGACCAGAGGGATACACGTCCTCGAAGGATGTGAGCATCAGTGAGACTCACCAGTGAAGAGACAACTTATTACCTATGCCTGTCTTCAGCAATCTCCAGTGATTCAAAGGAAGGTGAAATCTTCTTCTAAAGCACCCCAGGAGACAAATTATACCTAAGAAGGAAAGAATTCCTCCATCATCCCTCTAGGCAACCAGCAGACACCCTGAAGAATGGCAATGATATTATATTCAACGATTTAGGCTTCCTCATCAAACCAATGGCATCACCTGAAAGCATCAGCTACTTCAAAGGAAGTTGAAAAGAATGAAGTTAGCACCTAAAAGAAAATGAGGGGATGGGAGTGGGGGACAGCTACACCTGAGATATAGGCTCAGATCATTTCCAGTGTTCTTATACTATGAGTGTACTATGGAGTGATGCTCCATAAAATAGGGAGAAAGTAAAGCAGAGAAAAAGATGGCATACTCTCTGGCTTATAAGGAGATAAAATTACCCTACGGTCCTGCAAAGGTAAGAGTATGACATGGACATTAGTAATACTCACTTATGTTCTTATGTTCATTCAAACCTAATTGCAAATATGCACCAAAGACATTTAATTAGGGAAGAAGCAGATTCAGAAAGTTCCCGTCAATGAAGTATCTTCTGATTGCAGATGCTTATAATGAAGTTAATGAGAATAACACTTTAATCATAGATAGCTGCTCTTGTGGGGAGAATAATAGCCACATTATTTGGGTTGTATTTTTGTTCTGACAAACACAACTTTAGATCATAATGGTCAAATGTTTGGTTCCCAATTCTCAACTGAGTCAATTAAAAGTAGAGAGTAGGAGAATTTTTACTGAGAGATGAATGGATACAATCTCTTTTGAAAGACAAATTATTTTTATTCACGTCTCTACATATTGATTTAGGAACTTAGCATTGGCTACTGAATTTAAATTAGGAGCCAAAAGATTCTGCTTTGCTTTTATGAATGCTGTTAATGAATTAAGCTTTCCAGTATGCCCTCAAGGTAAGTAACAATCATTATTTGAATTTTAGAAATGCAGAAAGCTAAGGCCAAGTAGTCTCTGAAGTATCCATTAATATGTCTAGTCCAGAATACCTACTTTTTGGTTTTCCAGAGGCTTGTTCAGCACTTTGCTGATTGTAGGTGCAATAATTAAGCCAAAGGACAAGACCTGGAAAAACACCATAGGCACTTCCAGCTCAGGTGTGAGGAGGTGAAAACCTGGATATCTGTTCACCCCATCCTGCTGCTCTGCATGGTAAGAAAAATGAAATGTTTGGCCCCTAGGCTTTCTGCTCACTCACAGGGGAGAGTTACCATCCCATGGGGCGCTGAGGCACATGCATTAAACAAAGTAGTGTTTGAGCAGAAGAATGTTTTCAAGTACCCTCTCTAGTATGTATATGCCTGAATCAAGGATGTAGCTTAGAATGCCTCTGTCCTATTGGGGTTCCTAGCTGAAGGAATAGTGGCAAAGCAGAGAAGTTTCTCTCTCTTTGGATATGATGAGTGTGTACATAATGAACTAGTGGCCAGAGCCTCACCCAGAGCACTGTCCATGTTGCCTCTAGGTCTTCCCCAATCTGCATGTATCTCCTTACTAAAAGAAAATTTTAATAATCTTTTACTGAAGCCAGATTAGTTATCAGTGAAGGATACAAGAGACATTGGATTTGAAGTTGAACAAAGGGGTCCTAATCCTACCTCTGTCTGTGTACTTTTAATCAATGATTATCTAACGTGAAACATGAAGAACAGGGGCTGGAGTAAAGCTTTCTTTTAGTATAGCTGAGTCTCCAGAACAGTGCAGCCAAGAGGCCAGCCAACACGGAAGAACCGATACACCCCCAGGTCTGATGATGACATTGATCTTGCATGTTTAGGAATTAAACCTGAAGCTGCAACAGTTATGTCTTACACCAGAAATCTGTGCCAAAAAAAGATAAACGGGGTCACATTGCGAGTGAAAACATGTTTTCTGATAACTATAAGTATATATTCTCAATTATGTGTATGGTGTACAAATTTCTAGGTGTGTGGCAGTAAGAAAAAATGAATTTGTAGCAGTAAAATTTGAGGGGAAATTGAATAAAGTTGAAAGCATGCATGCTTACTGGGTTCCTCTTAAGTCAGCAGCTGTTGTTGACACAGCCCAATACTCATTTGAATGATGTCCACAGAGCATAGTTTCAAAGGAGAAGTGTTTAGAACTCTAACAAAAGAAAATACTGGGAAGAAACATTTTCCAGCTATTCAGAAGATAGATGGAAGACATGGATGTGCTTATTCCAAAGTTACTTTCCGTAACAGCAGCTGGTGCTTTTCCCTTGTTTCAGTGGTGATACTGATCTACTGCACAGGAAGGTGTTATATTTCCAAAGCCTCTAAGTCCCTGCACAGGCTACCAGCAGTCCTTTGGTAGCACAGACCATTCTGAGGACAGTAATTTTCATCCCTGCCAGATTCCCTTACTTGTTTTTTTAAAACAATCTTATAAAAGTGCACATTACAGCTGCCTACCTTTGCCATACAACAGTGCAGCAGAAAAGTAAAAAAGTAAAAAAAAAATAAATAAAAAAATTCTTTCAGAGAACAGAGAAGTAAGCAGTACGAATAACTCTGGTCCTCCACAGCTGCCTGGTTTGGCTTTCAATATTGAGCTGATATCCGAACTTCAAGACTGTAATCCTGAAATCTGTGAAGGGAAATCTGACACAAATTATTTGATCAGTAAGTGCTTTCAGAATAAAATTCAAGCTTAAATGACCTAGTTGAACATAGATTTCTTTTCACTACATTTCAAAAGAAAGTCAGAGAGGAAATAAACTTTCCCAAGATGATGTAGTCAAGTCTATTTTGAAAATGTTAGAGGATTTTGAGCTGTTACATTCTGTCTTCAGCTGCAACATACTCACCTGTTCGCTAGTGTCTTGGTTGCTAGACTTATATGCAGAATTTAAAATCAGATTGGAAGTGTCTTGAAAGTAAATGCTACTGACCTGGAATGGAAATTATAACCTTGCAAACAGATGTGCAATTAAATGCACAGTCATGTCAACCATATTTTTAGCCACTACTGGAAAAAAAATCAGCTTTCTCTTTCTAAGTGGAGTTCTCTTTTGATTAAGTGCATGTTTCAGGTCAACATATCTAAGTGAAGCTGAAATTTCCATGTTGAAAATATTGAAGTCCAAGTTCAGGTCTGTCTTGTCAGATGACCTACTTAATGACTGCAGACAAGTAGCAGTGACACATTAAATATCCTGAAAGTTGGCTGAGAATATGCAGTTCTGGAATTCTCATTACTGCTACTCTGAAAGCAATTTTTTATGACACTGATGGCAATAATATACATTTAGGTCTGTGGCTGCACTGTATTTTCTAATGAAGCTGTATGAGAAATTTAAAATCATAAAAGAATGAGTTAATTATTAGCTACATATTATTTTAACCTCCCATTTTTGTGCAAGGTGCAGGTCTTACTTAACATCTCACCCTGGCATTGGATTGAAGGTGAGCATAGTGAAGGCACTCAATGCAAGTCATAGAAGAAATTTAGAAGTAACCACATTTATCAGTGTTGAAATAGATTTACTCTTGCTGGACCTGAACTGATGTCTCCATATAGCTGTCCTGGGTCTTATGAACTTATTGGCTTGCTAGAGGATCTTTGTTCTGCTATTCATTGTGTACTGCAGATGCATGTAGTTCTGAAACATGAAGGAGGCACTGGTCATGAAACGCAGTCTATTTCTACTCCTGGTCTAGTTCTATGGTTGTTTACAAGCAATGGAAAAAGATGAGAAAATCTGTTGTGCAGACTGGATAATGTATCAGTCAAATGAGCAATGCTACATCCTGGTAATACTCTGTGTGAGTTGGCCAGCAGCAGTCAGGTGGAGCATTGTGTGAATGTACCAAAAATGTGTCTTGAAGGGAGCTCTAGAGGAGAAAGATGATGACTGCACAGTAAAGGATGATGCTTTCTTTACTATCCAAATGCAAAGTAGTAGAAGAAGCAGATGTGACTTGACTGGTACGTAAATGTGCACAGAACAGTTATCTGTGACTTGATCTCAGTGGCCATTCCCTCTGCTTTTTCCCCTGGGCCTGAGGTGTTGCTACTTTAACTCTTCAATCCAAAACAGTAAGTCTTTGTTAGATCAGCTTGCTTTTGCTGAGGTGGGTTGGGGTGCACTGACACCATTTACTCTTCTGACAGGTCTGAGAAGCCAGTAACATCTACTGGGGGAGCCTGGGCATGCAGGAGTGATAATATATATATGCATGTACTGTATCTGAAAAGGGTGCTATTCAAAGCCTTACGAGGACAGAAAATCCCTAAATCCCTTCTGATCCTCTTTATCCAGGGCTGTGACTCCAAAATCTCAGTTTTTCCCTGAACATGCATTCATGTCTATATCACCAGAACAAAAGCAAAGCAGCTTGAAATTAGACCTGTTCTCTCTCATGAGTGCAAATGCTCCACAGTATGTTCTTAATAGTCCATCCAGTTCAATAGCATCTATTTTCTCATGTAAGTATTCCATTAACTCAAATTTCTACCAAAATGGGCTAGTCACTCTTCTCTCCTCCTGTATGAGCAGCCCCAGCTTAAAAAGTGCCTCAATAATAAACACCTGAGCTTAATCTAAGTGCTGTGATAATGTATTATGACTGTACATTAGAAACTATTGGGTGATGCATCTTACAGAACAAGGCAACTTTGCAATAAATTATGAAAGAGCCCCATCATAAAACACGTAAATGGTGATTCTTCAGATGAATATGCCATCAATATTTTGTCATTGTTTATTATGCTTCATAGCACAAATCAGAGCCATAAATATTGCTGAAATGACTAGCACTTGACAAGCTGTACTGTAATCCTGCCCCTTACTTCTGTGCAGATGTAGACACAATCATAGCTTTAAACCACCTTTGAGTAGGGTCTGTGGAGGACACTGGTTGGCTCCTGCTAGAAGGTAAAGGAGCCTCCAGCTGCTTCACTCTACATCCACTGCATGGGGAGCCAAGGAGATTGCTGTATTTCAAGGACCCTAACTGCTCTTGGATTTACAGGGGAACTCTTACTTTTATTCCTACCCTGAATTTTTATATGTTGGTTTTAGATCCTGGCTTTCTCCTTCTAGATCCTGACTTATTTATTTTTGTTCCTTATTCCTTTCATTGATTTTGGTGCAGCTACTCTTGGCCACAATAATATCAGGATCTCACCATAGGAACAAAAATAACAGTCCTGGCTCTTGTAAAATATATCTTGTATTGTTTCTCAAAGCGGGTGAAGTAGGAACATTGATCATAATCCTAATTTTCTGTCAGAGTGGAGTCAGCTGGCTGCTTTTGGTCAGGATCAGTCAAATGTGTTTTCTTCACAGTACTGCAGAAAGACACGTCCTAGACAGTGGATATATATTGATGGATATTTTATTAGCATGCAGTGTCTGGAAGGATTGAGCACTAGGCACGTTACGTGAGAGATTACTTTTTTTGTCTGAATACTCTCTCTACAAGGAAGAATGAGCAGAAATTGTTGGAAGGCGAGGACCCATGTAATCTAGTGCTGTACAACACCTCAAAGTGTATTAGCTATTTTATAAAGAACACACTGAAATATAGCCAGTGCCCCAGAAGAATTGCAGTGAAAATATTCTGCACACAGCATTACTTTTGTTGTCATTACCAATAACTGATGTGGCCTTTTCACAGTGGGGACTGGCTACAGCTGGGAGAAGTAGGGTTGCGTGGGCTTGTTCCAGAAGCTGGTGAAGTGTTGATCCACACTCATTTATTCCAGAAACAAACAATTGCTTTTAAGGTAAGTAAACACCTTTTATTGGTTCATCCTGATCTCGTACCCCTTGCAAAGAAGCAGAATTGGAGCTTGAGAAGAGTTATGGAACTGTTTGAGCATCATCCTGGCTTTCTGCAGTGCAAGTGCAAGCAGGCTCTCTGTGCTCTTCACAGTCCTAAGCATTCTTGTATAATCGGTATAATATAATCATTTTCCTGCACATGGATTAGAATGTGTAATCTAGAAGGAAAATCCAAACTGGCCAGTCTTAATCAAACATGACTCATGTAGATGCATGCTGAATGCTAAATGCTGTGGGACAAAGACCCTGAGCAATATTATATGGCTGCCTCTTTTCCGAGGCTGATCTAATGGAGTGCTGCAGTTATGTGATAATGGTGACTGCATATCATTGCACACATGTAGCCCCAACATAGCCATCAGGTAAAATTAAGGTTAAGCAGCAAAATCCCACATGAGTTCTGCAGCGATAGTGGTCGTTATTCTGTGCTGATGAAATTCCAATGTCTCATTACAGGAAAACAAATGAGGAAAGGCAAATGGTTTCTCTGCTTCCTAGCATTAAAGCATGCCTGTCCCCAGTATGACTCTCCCTAGGTGCTGGCATGTTTTCCTTCTGGTGCAGCGTGCTCTGCATTATTAAAATTCTTCTTGTTTGACCTCATCATTAAGTTTTTATTTTACTTTTGATTGTAGTGACTAAATATAACAATACATGATTTAAAGAGGAGACAGAAATAAATGTTAGAGAAAACAAACAGCCTCCCCCCTGCCAAAATGCTGAATGGCGTAGCAGTGAATGGTTAAAAGAATCAGATTTAATTAGGGTTCCTTTCAGCACTGAAAATTCCATTTATGCACACTATTAAAATAATCTTCTGCATTAATACTAATTTGCATCATCAAAATAGCACTTCATCTATTATTCATATGGTATTGTAATTTCTCCCGACTGAGAGGGTGAAGCGTGGTAAGACTCTTCTGCTAAATACTGCACAGATATTAAGATATTGGTAATGCCTTAGGCTTCTTTTCTGCATTAGATATCACACACAATTTGCTCTCTCCTCTGGATCTATGTAATGACCACTGAAAAGACTTTAATAGTTATTACACACTTTCTTTGCCCCTTATGGCCAGAAGGTCTCCCTTCCACAGTCATTCTTGTAAAATCAATCTACCATTGCTGGCTGCCAAAGTGCAGCCTCATTCAGGGGAGGGTGCAGGCACTGCTTAAGCAAGAGAATAACTCTTGATGAAAGAGCAAAGAAAAAATCTCCTTTATTCTGGAGTATGAAGGGTGAGAATGGGGGTTGACGTGTAGAGTGCAATGCTGGTATTTCATGTAGTCACTTCCTGAAGATGTCCAAACTCTTGCTTTCTGTACTCAAACAAGTGACTGGTGACAGTTTGCAGCTGTTGCTCACTCTGCTGGGTTCTCTAGTGCGTGGGTGTGTAGGATGTTGTTGTAGCTCCTGGTTCCCAATGGGCATCGAAACATGCACCCTGCCTCACGCTGCACTGCGTGCCACGCTGGGACCTCTGGCTCTCCCGGGAGACAGAGCTAATGGACATCCTAATATTTTTTGATTTCTGAGCCTGACTCTCATTATGTTAAGAAGACAGACCAAAGTCTTCTTTAGACACCTCTGGCAGTAAAAGAGAATCTTTCAACGATGTAGTTTTCATCTACTTGAAATTCCAGTTCCCTGAAATGTTTATTGAGCGGATTCCTTCTTCATCTACACACTTCTGAAGTGAAAATAAAAACTTCCAAATCATCAGTTAAGGAGAAAATTCCCTTATAACGTATAGGTTAGACTGAAAAAAGAGTAGGTAGAAACATTTGGGCACTGAATGTACCAAGCATCAGCTTATATCACCTTCTCCAATGGAGGAAGGGCAAATGACCTAGCACGATTTTCATGTTCTGTGGTGGACTGAGTCACTCTGCTCCTACTGATTAACACAAAGGAAGAAATAATTGTCAACAAAGACTGCTGCTAATCACTGATTAACAAGCTGGAAGGAGGAAGGGAGATAGGTGGGAGGTAATTTTACTTCTGACAAAGAAAGAGGCCTAAACAGAAGTTTCCTCTGTCAGTTAGAGATGAAAAGAACACCTCACATAATATTTCTTGGCTTTGAGACTTAAGTGGCCTTTCTTCTGCTTGTTGGTTTAGTCTGAAGTGGAACACAATATGACTGCAATGTTTAAAGAGCAATAATCACGTAGACTTGGAAATCAATATCCCTAAATATCAGAAATCTTATAAAAGGGGGATTATTTTTTTTTTCCATGAGATGAAAGGTCTTGCTTTATTACCCTTGTAGTTTTATTAATCTCTATAAAGCTATTTTTATACTCGGGCTGGTGTTTAATAATTACTATTGCCCATGATAGGGTGGTTGGAATTAGATGGTCTTTGACGTGTCTTCCAACCCGAACTATTCTGTGATTCTATTTGTCATATTCTTGGCTTTTTAGAATATATTAAACACTGTAGATTAGACGTACATTGAAGTGCAACAAAGCCTGTCATCTTGAAACTCCCCATGGGAAGTACAGCTCTGCAATCACCTGTGTGGAGGCACCATAAATTTGCTGAAGGAAGTGATTTTCCATGGACTTAAAAAAACAGGAACTAATATGCGTTATGTGTTTCATCACAAATTCCACGATGCTACCTATGACCAAAATAACATATAATAAATAAATGAAAACCTGCCAGAGTAGAAGATAACCTTCAGAGTGGATTTATATGATTTAAGTGACTATATGTAAAAAGATATTTTAATGAACTCTGCACTTTTTCTCACAATGAAGTGAAGGCTTCTTGAGCTTTTGTGGAGCTGGTCTGTATGTCTGGGAGATGGAATGACTGGAGAGAAAGGAACTGTTCTGGAAAAGTGGAGCTGCCTTTAGCAAATGTCAATATCAACAAAGTGAAAAGATTGAACAGATGGTTAAGCTTTCCCTGGCCCATTTTGAGAACTTTCTATGAGAAGCAGAAGGACCATGAACTCACATTATAGTCAAGATTTTCTGTGATATTAAGGATTTGGATTTCCAAAATTTTAAACATCAGGTTGCTAATATAAAAGAGACAAAAACAGTGATACATCTATATATAAAAAAAAAGGAAACTCTAACAAGGATGGAATTTAAAAGTTACTGTGTCATCAGGTACTCTGACCATGGCAAGGACACCCAAGTCATTTGCTTAGCTAGTGTTAAGCAGGAAGGTTCTGCATGCTAGTCCTCAAATCCCAGTGTAGTTATTTCCCTTGTGTAGCAGCATTTAAAGCCAGACTACAGTAATTACCCATTTTGAAACACGTAGACCAAACCATAGGACACACTTTAACTGATTCCTGTTTCTACCCCATTATTCCTTCTTGAGTTGAAATCTAACTTTCAGAAAATCATCCAATATTGATTTAAAAATTTCCAGTGATAGAAAATCCATCATAGCTGTTGGTATTTTGTTCTGATGGTTAATTACCTTGCCTGTTAAAAGGTCATGACCTATTTCTTGTCTAAGCTTGTCTAGACTAGGCTAGATCTTTCTGTGTTATTGCCTGTGAGACAGAGCAATATTTTGTTCTGTATGTGGTAACTAGTGGGCAGCTTACATTACCCGTGTGATCTTCCTACTGTTTTTACACACATCCTGGAATATCAACACCTGAAGTAGAAGTAGGAATCATACAACTATGATACCCTGCCAAATTGAGAGGCTGTGTAATATCAGTTTCTACACTCCAAATCCTCAAATTTATTTATACAGGAATCATATTGGCTTGCCGGCTATGTTACAACCAGAAGTCACGATCTTTTCTTAGGTCACTGATTTCCAAGAGGGAATGGGCTCAGCTCTTATTCTTTATTCCTCCACTTATAGCTTGAGAGCTGATAAAAACATACTTTGTGTATGCCTACTTTATTAGGTAACTGTCTCAGTGACCTCTCTTTTTAGTATTATATGTTTAGAAATCCAGCTAAATATGTACTCTGTTTGTGATTAGACATCAAAGACTATTAGTTAAGGAGTTGTAAGAAGTTCTGCATTTACATATTCTTTTTGTATTTGCCTAGTTTTTGTACAAGATGTTTCTGATGCAAAGTCAAATACCATATTGACATCTATATATTTTTTTCATCTAAGCCTGCAGTCTCAGGAAAAAACAATAGTGTATTATTTTAACAAGACCTATTCTTACACTTCAGTTCTGATTTACATATTGACATCTTTAACTCCTTATCTATTTAACTCCTTAATCTATTTATCTATTAGGCAAGCTATTATTTTGCTCAAGATAGATGTCCAAATTTTGCACCTATAATTACCTACATTTTTATTTTAAAAGATTGGGTCATCTTAATTTTCTCCCAATCCCTTGGAATTTTCCTATTATTATAAAATATTTTGAAAATAAATAGAAGGCCACTTGCACAAATGTCTTCATTTTTGTGAAACTTGGATGCAAACTGTTGCAGACCAATGGATTAAAAATGCCCTAATTTAAAGCTACTGCTCCAAAATCCACCAAAACCAACAGTGGTTTTTCTTATTACTTATATAAAGAACTCAACCATGCATAGCTTTTCAGCATAATAACTTTGGATAGTTGAATTAACATACATCTTGTTCTTTAATGCCAAGAAGGATGGTTCATTGTTGCATTAATAGTTCTTAATGGTCATGGTTTAATGATGAGGTGCTCTATTATATTTCTCTCATGTTCCTTATATTTTGTTCATCAGGAGTAGGCTACAATTCAATCTGCCTTCATACAGCAGTGATGGCAAAAAGGAACCAAGTTTAAGAGGAAGTTAATAGATATTTCTGTGTGTATTCATTGTTAATGTGCTTCTTATTTTATTAAGTACAAATCAGAATAAAGTAATAAAGTTTTAAATGGTAGATAATGAATATCCAGCTTGTATAATGTAAACTTTCATTCTTGAGAAAACAAAGGAAAGAGAAGTCAACTGCTCTAGGTACAGGTGCATTCTTTTACCATTTTGTATGCATTACCTGGTATGAGATGAGGGTCAGAAGCTCCAAACTGTAATGTTTGGGTTTTGCTTTAGCAGACATGTTCAATCATTTGTTATCTCTTCACTTGCTTAGTACTTTGAAGACAGTCATCGCCTGGCATAAGCAAAGACAGATATATCCTTGATCAGAATATAATAAGTGCAAAACTGTGTGGGAGCTCCCACATGACATGGCAGGGAATGTGTTTACTGAAGAGACAATAAATAGGCAGCATTAGACAAGTTCCTCTGATTTAGACCAACTGAGCATTTGTCCTTGATTACATCTTTACAGACTAATTTCCTCCTTGCCTTGCCTTGCCTTGCCTTGCCTTCCTCTCCTCTTTCCCTCCTTCCTTCCTTCTTTCCTTTTTTTTTTGTGTCTCTCTGTCTTTCTTTTTCTTTCTCTCTCTTTCTTTTTTTCTTTCTCCTTCTTTCTCTCTTTCATTTCTTTTTCTTTCTCCCTCTCTTGCTTCCTTTCTCTTTTCTCACAGAATCCAAGCTGGCTGAGGTTGGCAGAGACCTCTGGGTCCATCTGGTCTGTCCCCATACAGCCCCCTCCCCCCCCGATCCAGGTATCAGAAAGACTTAAACATAATGAATCATCAGACGTTATGGAAGCGGTCAGTTACAGTGACTAAAGTTACAGCTGTCATGACTAAATTGTAAAATAATATTACGGAGCCATCAGAGGCTTGTGAACTGAAGCTATGACACTGCTATTTCAGGTGAAAAGGGATGCTTTTTCCCATCTGTTCGTTCAGTCCCAGTAGTTAGGCAGATTAATTACGGGCGTGATTCCAGCACATTAGGGATTGATTTGCCTGAATTATTTTCTTTGTGTTATTGAAGGGCTGCAATGAAGCATATAGTATTTTTAAAATAAAAAGCACTAAAATATAAGCTCTAGAGAGCAGGTTTCAAATCTGCCTTAATTTACTAGACCTTCACTATCTGAAGCATGTCCTTGATGGGCATTTACAAGTGTTACAAAATCACCTGAAGATGATGTGTTGCAACTGCTCAGTAACTCCTGAAGGCTGTAACAAGCCAGCCAGGTTACAGTGCAGACATTTTGCCTTTTCACTGTTGCTTTCTTCTAGTGTAAGAGTTCAGCTGAGACATATGTAAAAAATAAGCACCATGCTTCACTGAACCCATTACAATGACACACTTGAATCATACCTGCCAGAAACACAGGGACTATCACAACATTCAGAGGAGTTCTGGCACTGGTTGTCCCATGCCTTGGCTAATCTTGTCCCAGCCAAATTGGGACCCAGCCTATGCAATGTAGTGGAGTAGCATGCATCTTGCACTTCAGGATTTTCCTCAGTCTGGAAGGGGGTGAAGGATTTATCCCCATTGTTATTTTTTAATTCCCTTGCAAATACTTTCTTTGGCTAGCTTAGTTCTTGCAAGCACTCAAAACCAACCTGTTATTATGGTTGAAGTAGTGGATGTATGTACTGATGTGATTCATAATTAATGCCACAACAATGTAAGAAACAGAGATGTCCTTCTGTGACTGTATATTTACCCACCTTGAGGGAATTTGCTCTGTTTCAGCCCACTTGCTCAGTTCTCCCAGCTGCGATGCAATCCTTTGGCATGGCTTTCATATCTGGAGTTGCTTTCAGTGGTTGGGATCTTGATCTGGAGACAAACATTTCCTCTCTTGTTCTGTGCTTGGGATTCTGCTCAAGTTCAAATCTTGCCCCTTGAGCACTTTCTATCACTCACGGAACTGATATATAATCAAGGTACAATTTTTATTCTGAAGGGTCTTTCCTTCTCGTGCCTGTCTTCAGAGGTGCAGCTGTCTTTTGAACATGGATGACCAAGTGGATGGAAAACCTGGCAGAGAGTAAACAAAATTTGCTAATTACAGTTAACAATAATATATTGAGTGAAGGAAACATTTCCCCTGCCTGGGCAACAGCGTTCAAACACATGGCTAGATTCTGTAAAATATTGACAAGGTTCATACATGGAAGCATCAGTTGAGATCTACACTTACAAAAGCAGACATATGAGAACAACTTCTGCAAATGGCTATTTTACTTGTGACTTGATGCTACAGAAACTAAGCATCATTTCATTCACAGTAGGCAGATAAATAACCCACCAATTCATCTTTGAAGGTGGACATGGCACGCAGGCTCAGTGGCTAAGTTAGGCTCAAGGTTGAGTCTTGATCCATGTTTTCTCAGAAAAAATGGGATTTTGAAATATTGACACACTGTCATTTTTATTGTTTGATGTCCTGATGCGCTCTGGGGTTTTCAGCCAAATCAGAGAGGTAAGGACACAAGGAGAAGGAAATGACAACATTAAAACACATATTGAAACCTGTTGTGTTAAACAAGAAAACTGAAGGGAGCAGGCAGTGAGCGGAGAATCGCCAACAGTATGGACACTGGGGGAAAAACACATATGGTTTGTGCTATTTGCCAGTCTGGGAAACAGAAATCAGAAATGTGTGGAAGAACAACTGATGTGGGAAACCAAACAGGTAGAATTGAGATACAATTTCAGTAAATTATGCAGGTTTCTTCTAGCACAGCAGAACAGTTGCTCTCTCTTCTCCCTCAGGCTCTTCCTTGACTACTGTTATTTTTATATTTGCCAGCAATCTTTATTTGATTTTTTTTTTTTCTCTTCATATCCATTACTGGAAAATATTTCATCTTTAAGTTAGCCACACTGCTAGAAATGATCAATCAGATATGGGAAATCAGAAGGCCTAAGGTAAAAGAAGCAAAAGCTATCAAACACTCGCAGTAATGCCAAGCTATGAGTTTTGGCAGCTCTTCTAAACTAAGCAAGGTCAAGCTAAATCAGTGCTAAGATGAGAGACCACCAAAAGAAAACCCAGCTCAGTAAGCAGCACCTCATCTTTTCAAGCAATTTAATGTGGCTCTTCAAAAACAATGTCATTAAATGCCATGCTGCTTTTGAATGAATAGCTATTGGAAAATAACCATGCTCAATTCCTTGTTGGCTTCTGTTGTTCATTTTTTATAGAAGAGAATCTTTTTAGTTTCAAGAAAATTAAGAACTGTTTCATTATCACCAGTTTGACAAGTCTGTTAGCTGTTACTGTCCCTATGATGCTGAAGTGGAGTTTTATGTTTACTGTTATGCACCATCCCTTATTTACTGCTTATGAATGCCTCCCTCTGAAGATAAATGAAATTATAAGCAGAGAATAGACTTCAGCTTAAACCCAATTGAAAAACAGGTTTAAAAATATTTTTTCCTGAGTTGAAGCTGAATTGGTTTGGTCAGTATGAAATCTTTTTTGAAACTGATTTTTTTTTTTTTCCTCGAAATGGAGCTAAAGCCAAACTGTTCCTTTAAAAAATATTGAATTTAAAATTGTACTAAGCCATAATAGCTCAGGGCACACCCAAAACAAGATAAAAGTTGAATAATAAAATAATAAAAAAGGTTCCTCATGTGACTACTTGTTTTACAAGTTAAAAGGCCTCTAAACTACAAATCCCCCCAAAATAAAGGTGTATGCCAGCTTTGCAAAAGAAATCAGAAATGAGACAAGATGTTCTTTGCTCTTTTACCAACACTAGAACCACGAGTCCCTGTGGATAGAGAGTCTCACTGTACTGGGTGTCCCTGTGTCACTGACTTGCCACCTCTCTGCAAGTTAAATAACAAGGCAGATCAAGCATGGAGAGCCTCATTGAAGGTTTGCTCAAGTGATGCTGTTCATTGACATCTCTGATGTCTGGATCAGGCTCTGAGATCACAAGAGCATCCAAATCCTCCTGAAGGGTTTTGGCTGACCTAGTGGATTTGGAGGCCCCAAGGGCAGGACAGTTTGTCTTCCCACTGATTTTATCTGAAAAAGTTAAAACGTTGTCCTCAAAACAAATGCATGGATATTTAAGCAACACATCCCTCACTTACTGTAGGTACTCCTGGGGAAACTTTGCTAATAGGATTTAACAGTCTGTTGCACAAGGATGCCAGTGGCATTAAAGAAATAAAAAAAAAAAAAAAAAAAAAAAGAAAAAAAAAAAGAAAGAAAGAAAGAAAAAGAAAAAAGAAACCCTTTGTTCCTCTTGTATCTCTCTTTTGTTCAAAGCTGCCAGATTGAAGTTTACTCAGTAAATATGCACAGACTTAAAATTAGCTCTCAGTTAGCATGGACTGAAATGGGAAAAATCCCTTTCCATCTAATCTAATTTACTGCCAGTATCAAGAGTGTCAATAGAAAAGAGTCATCAATATGATGTGCACATGGAAAATAATTCATTTCCCTGTGTTCCCAGGTGGTCATGGTGCAGATGCAGCGGTTGCTTACATGCCATAATTAAGCCCCAACAGCTTTTCAATTGTATTATCTGTTACATGCATTATCCTCAAATTGTCTCCCTCCTAACAATGTATCTGACGGATACATGGCGCCACTAAAAAGCAGACATGAGGATGATGGTGGTGATGATGCAGTGTTAGCAAAACGAACACTTTGGTGCATGCCCTGGGATGATTTATAACCTTAAAATGGCTCTGTTTAAGACGGGGAGAAAGTGTCAAGGTGGGACAAGTGGAGGCTTTTGGGGGGCTGGGAACCGATGCCCCTTTAGCCTCTCCCTCCAGCAAGGTTTCTGTTGGTTTTATAACAGTAGATTTCTAAACCTTTCTAACTTTCCTCCCTCTCTCTGTGTTTAGGTAACAATATTTAACTTTTTATAGCACTGCAGTGGCAGGGATAAACTGTGACAACCATTGCTGGAAAAGGAGAGAAAGTACGACACAATCCCGTTCAACAGAAGACGACTGCTGGCTCCACATTCAACAGTGCATCAAATTAAACCTTCTTGTCACTGTCCTCGATGCTCTGCATAACTCTTCCCTTCCCTACTTCTCCCCCTTTGTCACACTCTGAGTCCTCCTCACCCCTGTAGCTGTGCTCACTTTGTCAAAGCTCCCAGCTTTGTCAGGTTCTTTATCAACTACTCCTACTGTTGCCCAAAAGCCCTATCACATGTAGCCCTCTATATAAACGGCCCACATTCCACCCACCTCTTAAAAACTCCTTTGTGCTGTGTTACCTAAAATGAATTGCATTGGATATACCCTGCCCAAGCAGAGGCTTCAAGGACTGACAAAGGTGATTTTCTGAGATAGGTGCAGCAAGTATTTATTATTCGGTAGCATATATTCCTCATTAAAATTTGCAAGAGTGAAAAGTCTGATCCAGTACATATTTGACTGGGGGGTTAGTCCAGAAACTTGGCATAAAGTATTCCTGCCTGCTCTCAGAAGTAGGCTAAAACTGGCTGTATGCCTGATTTTCTTTCCTTTAAGCTACATCCTTCCTCAGATCATGAGCTCCTGGACACAAAATCCCCCCATCCTGAACCAAGCAGAAATTGGACATAACTTAAAAAAAAAAATTGTCTTTTATACAAATGATATTCCATAATGCTTTACTGGTTTAAGAAAAAACAACTGGTATATATATAAAAAAAAAAAAAAAAGAAGAAGAAAAAAGATAAAATAATTCAGAGTATTTGTGGAAAATATTTGCAGCTCAGGTTTGAACGAGAAACTCACCCAGGACACGTGGAAGAGGTCTGTACAGAATGGGAATTCAGGTTGCTGCAACGAAAAGAGCAATTGTATTCAAGAAGTCAAAAAATGTAGTGAGGAGGAAAGGCTCAGAGTGAAAGGTCTGCTGGGGCAAGTGGATGAATGATTTTAAAATCTAAAAAGAAGTGATTGAGATGGAAATCTCCAATTACAGGAAAAGCTGCTGTGAGGTGGTTAGAGAAGCATTGTCTAAGAAAACTTTTGAAGGGAGAAACAGTTATGGTCTTTATAATAGAATATGGAGAGGTGCAGTGAAATGAAAACCAAGAAAGGATGCTCAAATAATGTGTTACATTTTGAGAAAAATGCATAAAAGTTGATGATAGATTTCTAGACCTGAAGGCTTAGAAGAGAAATAGTATTCAAAATTACAGGGCAACAACCACCACAGTTGATCTGAGTGATATGGAATTAATCTGTCTACAGGCTGTTTGCACACCTGACTCAAACTAAGTCAACAAAGTTGGTGATTGCCAAAAAAATCATCTCGGTGACAGTCACAAGGAGATGCATTCTCATTAGCAGCACTGATTCAGTCAGTGAAAATTATACTGGAACTGCTTTATCCTTCCCTTACTCAGGCCTCTGGGATTTTCATCTCAATTGATCTTCATCTAGTCTTTCTGTGCTGCCTTTGGGACCAATCCAAAACCATGAAAAATCAAAATGAGCCATCCTACCAGTTCAACTGACTTTTAGATCATGCCTTTAAAGTCATTCAAAAAGGATTTGAGATCACCTCCATTGTTAGTTTAGTGGACGAGGCTGAGAGAATGGTAGATTTCTACCATTTCCCCAGGGTTAGATTGCTTAATGTCCCAGTGCCAGGACTTCAGCGTTCATGCTTCTCATTTTTATTTTATTTTATTTTTTGTGGGTTAAAAGGAGATGCAGAAAACTTATGAAAAGGCATTAAAAATGAAATGACTCATCCAGTAAGGGATTTAATTAGATCCCAAAATGAGTAAATGAGGTTGGTCCACAGCAACGTGGAGAAGGTGCCAAGCATGGCAATCATCTTTGTGAGGGTAGGAAGTGGAAAGCCCTGTTAGTTAGTAGAGAGTAATTGGTGGGGGTGGGCAAGAGGGTGCCAAACATCTCTTGATAGCTCTCTACAGAGAATATATAAGGGAAATCACTGACATGCCATCAATAAAAATCTGCAGCTTAGTGTGTCTGCCATGATCCCTGGAGCAGAAACTCATTGCAGAAGTCCCAGTGTGCAAGGTACTATGCGATCCTGCTCTGGGGTTTGTCATTTATTATATTTCTCTGTGGCAACCAGGCAAAAAATAAATGAGAATTTTTAAACAATGACAAGTGGAAAATTCAGAAAATTGGAATTCCTGACAATATCAGTTCAAAGGCATTTAGTGAAGTGTGATTAAATATTTCATATTTCAATTAGGGCCCAACATGAAGCCAGTTCAGTTCCAACAGAAGCTACCAGTGACTTCAGTTCTGGCCCCTACATTAAAATTTAGGTTTTATCTATAATATCTATTATGTAGGAAAACGGCACACGGGGGTTTAGCCTGGAGTTTTACTACTTTTGTTTTATGTATCTGTGTAAAGGAGGCTGAAGAAGGTTATGTGGTGCACTTCAGAAATTCCCTCTTGGTGTAAAGAAGAGGACTCCCAAGGTTTACCCAGAACAGGTCTCTCCCGATCCCTGAAGAAGGCCATAACCAAACACGGTGGAAAGAGCAGGTTAATGTCCTTATAAAAAATACAGTGATCAAATGCAGGGCAGCTCAACAGGGACCCTAAACAATCATTTCTGCAGGAGGGGAAAGACACAGTTCTGTAAACATAAACACATGTAAGGTCCCGTTAACCCTCACAATTGTATGAGAAGTGGATAGTTGCCCACTTAATACATCTTGGTTACCTGTATATTAACAGCAGGGGCTACCCTTCAGGTACCCTTCAACTCCTTGACCTCAAATACTTTTGCTTTGTTCCTCCTCCTGCCACATTGCTGAGGTGCATGCAATGACTGCTTTATTTCCATTACAGAGTTGATCAGCCTTTCACTTCCTTAAACAACTGCCACCAGTTAAAATGAAATATTTGCCTTTTAAAATTTAGTCCTTCTCAGTTTGCAATCTCTTCTTTTCCAAAAAGCTGTAGTTTCAAAAATTACATATTTGAAAGTAGAAGATATAAAGTAATTGCAAAAGGAAAGTGATTTAAAGATTTCAGTATAATTTAATGCAATTCCAAACAATATTCTGTATCATTTTACCTGTAATAGCTTCTCTTTGATGATGCAAAGTTTTCTGTAACTCAATCCTACTCTCTAGCAATTATTCATATCCTACTTGAAAGGCTTTACATTTCTATAACCATAATCTTTTATATTAATGATTTGCACATCAGCTACTCAGTAATATTTTATAGAGATATCTTTCTCATTATACAAAATTCCTTCCTGCTTCATAACTATTCTGAAACCAAAGAACATAAAATGTGCCATTTGGAAAAGAACTTGTTGATACCCCTTACTGACTGGAGACTGTCATCTGGAAGTCCCCCAAAACTGTCAACAGTCTTCATTTCATAACAGCACACTAGCTCCAACCACAAAAATACTGAAATCAGGATACAGATAATTTTCCCATGGAGCCAAAGACTGCAGAAGTAGACTCTTGGACAGTTGGTTGTTCAGAAATATTTTGAAACTAGTTGTAAGCTGTTTGGAGCACCTACGGTCATATGGAGGCCAATAAAAAAGGAGGGAAAAAAAAAAAAGAGAGAGAGAGAGAAAAAGGGAAAAATAAAGCCTTATATTAAAAAAAGGAAAAAAATTGATAGAACTATTTCCTCTGTCAAAAGCACTTTGTACTGAATGTAAAAACAGTGTTAAATGGAACCAATAGATGAGCTTATGACCCACTGGCTCTACATGACCTCAAAAACTTTCAGACAGAGTGCACAATGTGTCCAGCTGTTTGGTGATCAGCCCATCATCACTGTTAGAGAACAAGAGTGCACACTGTTTTGAGATATGTCATCTCTGATCGTTTTGAAATATTTTATTTCTCTTCTCTCAAGGGATTTTAATCAAATTGTGGAGACCATCCTGGTGTTGATTGCATGAAATTATTTTTATCTGGAGACACATGGGATGAAGGTGAGGCTCCATACAGCTTGCAGTTATGTTTCCCTTATAGAATCATACTGATAAGCAGTGTCAAAAGAATGGTTGGTGAACAGCACAAGTCAAAAAAGTTCTTCAAAACATGACACATCGAAGTTATTGCTTCTCTGAGTCTGTGCCCTAGAAGTTTCTCTTCCAACAGGTTAATCAAGCTGGTTGTACAAAGGAATTCTAACACTTCAGAGGTTTGCTGTCAAAGTAATAACATCGCAGTGTAACCAATTTTAATCACTTGTATTTAAAATAAAGTAACATCCTTCCAGTAAATGGCAGCTCATTTTTCCCTCATATTCAGTGGAAGACAAAATCATACCACTGTTGTAGTAGTTCTATAAAACAATAATTTGGGTTGGCTTTATCTTTCAGGACAAAAAGGACATCAAATGTGCAACTGCAAATTGGAGTCAGATCACTTTACTGAGGAAAAAGAACAGGACAATATGATTCTTCTAGAGGAGTCCTAACTTAATTTTTTCCCATTCGCATTTGTATTCTTGGAAAAAGTGATTCAAGTTGTGAAATAATTGACAAAAGATATTCAGAGTAAATTCCAGTTATTGTTATTCCTGGTAGATGAGAACATCTAATCTTTCTTGTACCATGCTCCTAATCTCACAGGCTGAGGTTTCTTCCCTTCCAGTACCACAGCTGCATGCAGCCTAACAGGAATTTCTGATTTAGTTATGCCCTGTAGTTGTGCAAAGAGCTAAGCTTCTGCTTGGAGATATAATATCAACTACAGATTCATGGAATCCAGGACTTCTTACTGAACCACTATAGTCAGAAAGTGACCCGTTGCATGGTACAGGCTTTCAGACCTCCCTGAATTTATTTGTTAGAACAAGAGGTTATAGCTTCCATCTTACTGTGACTTGGCTGTATGTGCTACAGAATCCTCTACAACTGCTATTCCAATCATTCTGTGTGAAAATCGTGGGTCTCCAACTAACTTGGTTGTCTAACTATGGACAGTTGTCTATAATTTTTGTCTACACAGTTGAAGAGCTTATTATCCAGGAATATGCTAAGCTCTCTCCCACCTCTACAAGTGTGAAAGATTAACCCTGAGGTAGAGAAAAGTAGTATTTTAAATATTAAGCACATGACACTCATGTATTTATGCCCATATTGCATGTAAGATATTGTGACTTCCCAAAGCAGCCACAACTATGTATTTTACTGGGTAGTCACAACCTTCTTCACTCACAATTTTTAAGACTAGAAAGGACAGTTATTATTGTCTACTTTGTGTGTTTCCATAAACACTGTGAATTACAATTAAAATAAATGATTCATCAATTCATCCATCTATGTAATATCATTTCTGTTGAAGACTTCCGTTACTGAGTGAAGAAAGAGTGCAGAACAAAACCATCTGGGCCCTGCAAAAGGGGAGAAATACACCAGAACTCCCATGTCCTCTAGCAGATGCATGTGGAAGAGGTTGCTTGAGGTTATTCTTCTATCAAACAAAAAAGACAGAAAAAAAATCCGTAAAATTCTCCAATTGTAGCACTTTCAAGACTAAGGTTGTTGTCTGCTGCAGGGGCCAGCAAAGCCCTTTAGGTGCCTCATTAGAAGAAATGTTGTAGAGTACACACACCATAGT